TGGAAGCAAAATGCCCCCTTTCATTATTTTTTGTGTTGGACGAGGCGGATTCGCCCTTTCTACTTGAACTACAGGAATTTGAAGAAGATTTGCTGTAGTACGCAGTTTATGAAAGGGGACCAAATGCCCCCTTTGATGGCCTAATAACTTGACCTTCTATAGTATACTATAGCCAGGTCAAAAGTACCTGTTCACGAAAGGGTTATTATTCTATGTATATGTAATTAAATTTGATGTATGTAGTTGACAGAGAGAAGCTTGTCAACCTAATTGACATGCCTCTCAATGAAAATGTGGGTGCCGGAGCCAAGTTCGAGCCTACTTCATGTTCATTAGCAAGAACTCGAACCTATTTGCATTCAGTCTCAACGTTGCGCGAGCGGTGCAACAAACCCTTCTCTGCTGGTCCTACAATGGTTCAATGGCCCCAGTTCTACAATGCCGTCATGTTTGCGCTTTACTCCGAAAAGATGCCATCGACTGCGTTCAAGTTTGGAGGCTCCTCGACTGAGATATACGGCTCTTGGGCATTGAGTACCTTCTTGCTGATGGCGTTCAGTGTTGGAAAACGAAATCTCCGTCACGCCACTGATGCCCTTTCGGCTCCAAAGTGTAGTCCACCCAGTTGCACAAGCACAAGTATGCGTTGATAGCGTCTTCGTCCTTGGATACGTGACGCAAGTTATACGTGGGCCCTTCTGTCACAGTAGTTTTGTGATTGAAAAGAGCGTACGTTCCATAATCGATGAATTCATCCGGAACAACGATGCTTGGGCGAAATCGGCTCAGCGACACGTCCTTTCATTTGAGAGTCAAAACCTCGTTAATACGGCAAATGCCGTAAAAGGTAAAGGCGAAACAGCCCTAAACCACACACGACTTTCTTCGCTAGATCCTTTAAGTCCGGTGGGAGAATCGAGGAAAGCGTGGAGAACCGTAAGCACGCCTAACGATATCGGGACCGCTTTGGCTGATGCATACTCTGACGTTTCCTTCTTCTTGAGTCCACGCATGACTTGGCGTACGAAACAGTCTCTAGCTGGATTTCCATATCCGTGTTTTTCTTCAGACTCGTCTTCTTGCACGCACCAAGTGTTCACATCGGTGCCATTGCTGTTTTTGTGAGAGGAAAAGTAATTAGCGACAGCTGACCTCGAGCGAAATGGAACTGCATGCCGAGATGCTCTGCAAGTATGCAACCAATACGGCTGGGAGCTCGTGGTGGCGCATGTTGCGAGGATCTGTGTAATTTTTAGCGACGCAGGAATACGAAAGCATCTTGAAACTGGTTTCGTAGAAAGTCTGTGTAGTTTTCTTGATCACCTCGTTAGCCGCTTGATGGCCCTCTTTCGTATTTTTCTTGATCACCTCGTTAGCCGCTTGATGGCCCTCTTTCGCCAGCTCTTGGCATCCATCTTTCACCGTGGAATCAGATTGCAAACTGGACACGTGGCTCACATTTACCAAAGGTCGGCGTTCCTTTTGGTTGGACTACGTACTTTTTCGTATGAACTCGTATTTTCTGTATGTACTCGTACTCATCGAAATTGATTGAATTCGTACCCTGATACCTGACTCGTGTTTTTTAGGTATGAAAGCTTTCTTTTTTTAGATGATTCACCTTAAAACTTGCCACATGGCGCTTTTTTGTGAAGAAAAAGTATTGGTCGAAAAATTTCCTGACCGGTTTGGTTTTGCTCTTTATTGCATCCTGATTGATCAAATAATATCAACTAACGGCCAAACGTTGTTTCACGACAAAGAGCTGCTTCTAACAACAACTCATATAATAATCCAGATATACAGATTTGATTTCCCCGTATGGAATCAACGCCTGCAGGCGGGCGAAAATAATTTACACGGTTAGGGGTATTTCCGTACAAACTTCACGACAATGTAAACTGCGGTTACTATTTGGGTATTAACTCAGCGAAAACTCAAGTTAGGTCGGAGCAAACTGAAAGTTATCTAACAGCAAAACATTTTTCTTAACGTGTTACCTGTGGTGAAGCAATACCTTTACGCAACATAAGTCGTGGACGAAACTACCATGTAGCCACCTGATTTTGACCTCATGCCGCTCACACTAGACGCAGACCAGTGTGGAATTTTATTTTTTAACTCGATACTGCTGCATCCAACACGATAATTCTGGAAATACGCAGTATGTTTACAAGAATCTACATAGGTGGCAATATCTCGACGAATTTGCCATGTCAGGGAAACGGAATGCTTGTTCTTTGTAAATGGTTTTGGAATGTGCACGTTTCTGTCACAATCATGTAACTCGTATGGGATCACGAGTAGGCCACTTGTATAAAGGTAGTATTGGCTGACCCAAGGTTGATTTCTGTAACCAACCAGCGCAGCTTTGGGTACCCTCCTTAAAGATGTGTTTGCAGTTTGCAATGACATCACGGATGCTTGAAAAAAGAGGGGACAAAATCCGTCCCCCAAGGGTGGAGTAGGAGGCACGCGGTGGATTCCCTCCTTTCTGAGATATTATTTTGCAATAATTATTCTGGCTTTATCGCTACACAAATATTTAATCATCACATACAGTTGGTAACCACAACTCCCGACTCTAACTCAAAGTAAGTACCTAGAGTGCGTGAAGATATCTGTCTCTTAAAATGCGTAGCCCGAAACGTTTGGCACGCTGAAGTACGGCGAATGTGTCCCTTGCACCTATTGACGTAGAACGTGTGGTCTCGACGCTGAGACATCATCTGCTCCGCAATATCGCCTATCAGGATTGGCTTGATAAGACGAGGCAAAAAATGATATTTCATACTGGAATAGTAAGCTCTTAGGGCTGCTGGCACAACCCAACAAGTACTATATCCGCGTGCACGCGCCTTGAATGCGCTGATACATCAATAATTTTACCGGCAACAGGGCCGAAAAAAAATTGGAGATGATTCATAGAAGAGGTTGGCAAAAAGATTAGTATTGGTAAAAGCAAAAAAAATGGTGATAGGTTGCTGGTGGTACATTTAAAGTCTTCCTGGCAAATGACCATCGCGATTAAACGCACGCACACCCTGCCTACCCTCGCGCGGAGAGTCTGCGTAAGCGCGAAGAATTGTGGTTTATGTTGTTAGTGAATCGCACGTTTGCTAGGGGCTCGGTACGCGTCAAGATCCGTCAAACCTTACTGCCATCAGTGCCACGACGTTGGCAAAGTGCTATTGGTCGTAAACATAACGGTGGCGAAGGCTCGCGGTGATTGGATCAAAGCCGGCTTGGTAACGAGGCGACGTGTCATTTCGGTCTACGATCACACGAAAGGGTATGGGATGTGGCAGCGTGCGATAAGGGTGCAAAGACAGGGGTCAAGACAATCATGCAGTCGCAGCCTATCAAGTTGTTGTCGAGTCTTCGGCGGCGACCGTTGGGGAAGATATGGATACCAAAGGACGCAAGCGAGCGGTCTGGATGTGCTCTTGCGAGAGTGTGCAATACCAAGATAGTGAGCTACGACGTCGGAACAAGATCCAACGACCTTCAAGTGACCAGTGGGAAGCGACAGCTCAACCTTCGAGGACCCTTCGAGTGGGTGAGAGTGGTTATACAAGATCCATAACGGACATGTTTACATTTGATATTTGTAAAGGTAGATAGTAGGATTTTTAGAAATTACATTTAGAGCCCTCAGGCTCAAATAACAGAACAGCATTTACTCTAAACCACACGAGAGCACGTCCGACTATCGATGAGTACGCGATAGTAGCGGTATTAGTTCCAGTAGACTGGATACGACTGTCGGTGAGCGTTCCTACTGGTGAGTTGTGCTCATCTGGAAGGGCCAAGAGACAGTTTAGTTAGTGGCTTTGCATATGAGTGGCGAGATTTGGCCGGATATCAAGCCTCTGAACTGATGACCCACATCGATCACAATGCAAGTCTTCTGTCGGAAGGTGGTCGATACAACGACATCATTAAACCTCAGCTCGACTATCTGAGTATTTCCCTTTCAAAAGAGCAGTTCGAGGTGCTGGTGGAATTACTGCACAGAACTGGAGTTATCTCAGAGAGGAGAATACGCGGCGTGGTTTGATGTTGAATATATCTCGGGATCTAGGGATTTGTAGTTTGGCACCGCCAGTTATGTTCAAGGATTACTCCGAATCAAAGAGTCCCATCACCACTCAATCAACGCGACGGCTACAAACATTTAATGACCACGTACTAGTATCGCCGCTTCCAAACTTCTGGTTGGATATTGGGTGTGGACAGATTAAGCAATTTGCAACGGGGCCTATTGAAGGCGAGCTCTTACAAATCACAAAATAGTTGTGCAGAGATGACAGTCGGTACATAACCCCAAAGCGTAAGTTACCCAGAGCAATTCGGAGTATCCAGGCTTGCGTTTTCAACGACAGCTATAACCTAATTCGCGATGATAACATACATGGTCTTAAAGCGACTGGTGGTCATACAAAATACTACAAAAAAAAGCAATTTGTGGAGCTCTGAAGGGAGTGATATTGTTGAGAACATTTGTCCAGCTTTGTTATCTCTCACTTCACTTGGGCAAGGTATTGGATCGGGCTCCGTATGAGCACAACTGAAGCCGCCCAGTCCGATCTCTCAAAGAGATCGGTTTGACCCGACACAGGTACTAGTGTGACTGCAAGCAATTTTCAGATGCTCCAGCTCTAGCATGTCTTCACATCACAGGATATTTTCCTACAAAGAGACGGGATTTGTATGTCGCGCTACTCTATTGACGTTTGGCGAAGTGCATAGACGGCAAGCCAGCCTGTGTTATCAACTAGAGCGCGCTAATTGAAAACACAGTTACAGAGGCAGACGGTGAGATGCGCACAGCCAGGATATGATGAAAAAAAAACCAAAATCTCTATTTTTCGTGGAGGAAATGATACCGGGCGATTGTATGCAACGATCACGACCAGGATGGAATGACAGCCTTGGAAGCAGAACCTCCGGCAAGTACGATCAATTTCTCTTTCCAGATGGGACACACCATTGTCCCAAACTCATGAGCAGCAGTATTGTACTGGCAAGATGAAATGATACACCAAAGTTACATATGTTCTCATAATGTTAACAGTACTTACCAGATATGCGCCGGAAGACTCTCATTGAAAGCAGCGTAGCGTGGAGATCGCAAACAAACGCCTTCTGGAATGCCTAGTTAAAGTCGTATTGACAAGATGAAGCAAATACGACAACGAAAAAATTGTGGTCATCGCGCATGCACACCGCATTTTGAGCGGTGACTCGTGAACGGCACAGCCAACAACAACGAGCTGAGTGCGTGGGCTCGCCTTATAGTGCTTCTGATAGGCGTGGTTCCGCCTGTACGGGCAGCGTAAGAAGCGCTGCAAGGCAAGTTGATCCCGGGGCGAGAGCGTCGCTAAGCTCGATAAAATGTGCGTGAAATGTGCAGAAAGGGCTCTTAATATTAAAGTTTGTATGGATTTCCCACAATCTGCCATATGTGATGCGCATAGCCCCGATAGTTTTGGCGGGTTGCCGGACTCTTGTTTTTCTTTTAAGTATAGTATTGAAATGACTGAGAGTTAAGTAGTGAAATAGCCCTTACTTAAAAGAGGAAACACGGTTCTTTCAAACAAACAAAAGTTTACTTCAATTGGGTAATTAGGTAAAAAAAAAAAAAATTGTAGGTGCGCAAACGTGGTGTATAATTTCATCTCGCCAGTACTTTAACAATCCCGTAGTAAATAATAAATAATAAATTGGACGACATAAGGCTAGATGTAGTCAGCACTTTGGATTATACCAATTAGGGACCAAGTGACTCGTTCATTTACACAATTTTTGCAATAAATGCAATATCATCAGTCTAATGGTAAATACAATAAAACCTATTATAATTAATACTTGTCTGGCATTCAGTTAACCCCTTGAGCCCGGAGGGGTTTCAGATCCCCCTGGGAGCAAAGGAATTAACCTGTATGTCGTAGAAAGGGCCCACTACAAATGCCTATATAACTCCGTATCCTGTATATTGGATAAGCGCATTTTCCCCTACACCTTTGCTGGCCTAACAGGTATATACAGGATTCGATGCCAAAAGATACTGGTTAACGAATGATAACCTGTATGAGCTGTGTTACAGACTGAACATTGCGCAGAGATGCGTCGCGTTGTGTCCCGACTTTGGGAGCGTCTCCATCAGCAACCAACACAACACATTGATGACCAAAAATGCGTATATTGAAATTAAGATAAACGCACCAGCTGGATTCAGCTGTTCTGGCGCGCTCTCTTCGCCTGGCGCTCGCCGGACGACTCATCACTTGACGACTGGACCTCTTCCTCGCAAACCTCGACCGGGGTGCGCGCGCGAAGCTTGCTCTTGCTGGCTGGGCGCCGCGTGCCGTTCCGCCACCCCTTGTGCCACAGTTCGAAGCAGGACATCGCGGCTCCATTGTGCGTATGACGCACCTTGTCGCACAGGAATACTCGCTGCGCTTGTGGGTTGTTCTGCAGCGTCTTTCCCTTCACCTTGAGCTTGCAGAAGCTGCAGTACGTTGACGTGTCGTTTGCGATCGTTCCAGAAATACCCTTCATCCAAGAGCACACTTTGCAGGCTCGCACACATTGCTTCTGGCCCTTCCCGTCGTTGCCCGGACGCATTTTCTCGTTCTTCAGCGGAAAATGTACAGCTCGTCGGCCGGATCCCGCTGCTGGAGACTGGGTCGGAGTGGCTTGCCCGTCGTCACGCAGGAGAGCATCCCAGTCTTCCTCGCGGAGTTGGCAGAGCTCCAGGTGCAACTGCTTCATAAACTTGACGTGACTAAGCTTCTGCAGCCCTGCAGCCGCCCGTACAGCGTTGTGCGTGATGTACGCGTTCACAGTGACAAGATCAATCAGACCAAGAAACAGCGACTTGTAGTATTTCTTGTACTTGATCGCAAGCTGAAGCGAGTACCTAAGGAACAGTATAATACAGGTTTAGCTCAATCCGTAACCTGTATACTCCAGGATGGAAGACATACCTTTGCAGACGGAGTTGGTCGTGCACGTCCACTCCACCCATGAACGTATGATAATCCTTCATGATCCGAGGGCACGCGAACTCCTTTTGCATTCCAGAAATCTCTTCTCGCCTCACGACACGATCCATCGCATCACTACCACCGGTAGCCAACAGATATACAGCTTGGGAATCCCACCACCGTATTGCCTTCATTATTGGAAGCTGAGTGAACTCGCTTACAGCAAAAGTGCCCCCGATCAACACTTTGCGGGCGCTTCTTCGGGATAGAAACTTTCTTTTTCTCCCCCTTCTTCTTGCGAGACCCCACTATCTCCTCAGGTAAGCCCAGCCTCGCTGTATTGATTGTCCCCACGAGATAAAAGTTCATCGTTAGTAGCTGCAGTGCCAAAGGGATTGACGTGTAATACCGGTCGGTGACAACCAGCCTGAAGTCGTTTCCTTCAGTGCCATAACGACCAAATACATGGCGAAGGTTGCGTGCCACAGCAGCGGGACCAGTTTTGTTGTCGTTTTCTTGGTTTGTCTTGCCACAGTAGACCTCAAACCTGTATAAGACAGAGTGGATTAGCGCTCAGGCGGTACCATACAGGTTTAGATAACTTAGCGATAAAAAAAGCGAGCGCACCCGAAGGCACGCTCGCTACTTACCGAATGCAGTACGCGGTGCGGGAACAGCACAACATAAACAGCTTCGTGCCCCATTTGCGGGGTTTGGCTTTCATGAAAACTCGCATGCGGTTGAACGAAGACCTGGATGGAAGCATGGCCTCATCAAACGCCATGATAGCCGGTGGGGTATATCCAGCCGCAAATGTCCTTTGCAGTGCATCCACTACTGGCCGCAGCTTCCAGGCCCTGTCAACACGCGCACGAGGGTCACTGTTGCAACTAAAGTGCAGATTTCTGGAAATGTGCATGAAGCGGTCACGTGCCATAAAGTTTCCCAAACAGCCGCGTGGAATAGCACCTTCATCAACCTTTTTCCAGTGGTGTGCCAGCTTCTCTTTATTTGGCACGACAGTTCGTGCAACCAACAAACCAATAAAAATGCACAGTTCCCGACCACTTATTGCTTCCATTTCCTCCATATCTTGACGCAACTTTTCGAGTGACTTGGGCTTGAAACCAGCATGCTTCTGAGCACGCGCTAGCTGCTTCAAGTGGAGCCCATTCACACGTTCGTCAATCTTCTCAGCAAAGTAATCGTTGCTCGTATCAGCAATGGATTCCCAAAGTTCAGGTTCAGCAAAGAAGAAGAAGGCACCGGACGCAGTTGCTGCCGCCTTCAGCGCTTGCCTAGTAGGTCCAGACGTTCCCGAGTAGAGATAAGGGTAGTCTTCTTTCATTGCATCTGCGGGTCTTTCCTCATACGGCTGCATCATGTAGTCATACGGTTCATGGGTTGCTGGTTTACTCCATCCGTTACTGTCCATGCTCTCCAGACCCCGCAGAAACGCTTCACGCACACGTCCATCTTCGATACGTGCCTGGCCTCCACACGCCTCGATGAGATGGGGATGCATTCGGAACGACGGCATATCAGGCCACAACGGCAAATCATCGTCAGACATATGTGATTCATCATCGCCTTCATCTCCATTTAGCGAAGCACCATCATCATTCTCAACATCGGACTCCAATGCGACGTATTCGGATGGGTTTTCACCTGAGCGATATATGTTTGCATCTACAGTACATATTAGCGATACACGTTAGGTTCTCTAACCTGTATACAATGGAATGCAAACCTGTATTGACAGGATAATGCACCAAGCATGTCGTCGACAACCTCGTCTTCCTTGGTTTCTTCATCGCTCTGATGGAGGTCTGCGCTTGCTTGGTCAGTGCTTTCAACACTTTCAAATACAGCGGCTAAACTTCGTCGACTAGGCGCATCGTCTACAGTATTGGTATCACACAGTACGTTAGCCACCGTCAGAAATATCTCACTAGAACTCGAGAACAGACCGTCTGAGCTTGAGCTCTGTGCATTTTAATCAACGGGCCCGCTCATGTCATGGGGCGACATCGCCTCAAGAGCTTGAACTGGCTGGCCGCCGGGTGTGTCAGGTTGCTGGTCCTCGTGCTCAGGAGGGGGCTCATCCACAGCAGTTGCTGTCCCCTTGCGTTTGCCACGCGTTCTCGGAGGATGGCCTGGTTGCTTCGAGTGATGTTCTGCGTAGTCACCAGTATCGTACAGGCTAGCACCCAAAACCGCCAGGTATAATACAGGTTTGCCAGATAATGTACCTGGTGGGGCAACAGGTTGGCGCTCCTTGCCATCTGCTCTGGGCTCATCCGTTGCAGTTGTTGTTTTCTTGCGTTTGCTGCGCGTCCTCGGAGGATTGGCTGTGTAATCACCAGTATCATACAGGTTAGCATCCATGCAAGGCACGTATAATACAGATTTACCAGGAATTCGGCGTACCAGTAGTCCTCGCTGGGTCCCCAGGTCCAGCGTCTTCATAAACAGAGTCCTCAGCACCTCCTACACCAAGACACAAGTTAGACAGCTGCCAAACTCCAAACAAATCAGGGGGACGCACCAGCAGCGAGCTTGTCCAAGTAGTCAAAGAGCTCCTGCGTTCCAACGAAGTAGTCCTCTCCCCGCACGCCCTTCACCGACTTCCCTGGGCGGATGTAGAATGCATAGTCGGAGAGCCCCACAGATTTCTTCGACGTCCAGCCTTGCTTTGTCAGCGTTCTCCACACGCCGGTAAACGACATTCTCTCCCCACGGCGGCGCTTTCCGAAATGGGGGGGATTGAGTGGCTGGCGCCAGTTTGTCTGTCCAAAACGAATGCTGATGTGCAAACACTGCACCATACCTCTGGTATCTAGTACTGCACGCGCTTGTCCCGATTGCACGCGCCTGTACGAGGGAGTCCCACTTTTCCAAAGGATGGTGAACAAACCCACCCCTAGTTGTCTTGTTTTTGTTATGGTCCATACAAACTCCAAGTCAAAAAAGCTTTTTTTTTGAACCTGTATTATACAGGCTGCCGGTTTCAAGGGGTTAAGAATCCGATTGGTTTTCATTTTCCGATACAGAATAGCTCGTCTATTTATATCCAGTGATAACCATCAAATTCATGAAGGGTCTTTATGAATTTACAGTGATACCGTAGAGTGGTGGCAGTGAAAATTATACCTGTGGCGGGATAATAAACTATACAAATGTTCCTGTGTCGTCGCCCTTTCGGTTAAGTCCGTCTGTTATTGTATGGAGTATTGCGCGAAAAGTTCAGATGAATTTATACCTGCTAGAAATGATGTCTTTGTCCTAACCAAGTGTGTAGTGTAATTTCGCTTAGAAGTCTTCGACAAAGTTAAACAAATTTCTTTGATCTGCTAATCCTTTCGATTTCGACGATTTTCTAAATGGGCTCTTCAAGAAGAGAAAATCCGAGCTCTTTCTGGCGTAGTTAGCACATGACTGGCCCACAAAGATGTTTTTTAAGTGGACGTGAAGCTATCGGTCGAATCAACGCACCCTGTTAGAATCATGAACAGGCTGAACCATCAACTTCGCTAACAGCACGGGGAATGACAACGGATTTAGCAATTTTCTCCCATGATGGGGCTAAATGGTGATAATGTAGGTTCTTAAGCGGCTTCTTATTATTATCTACTGCATTCATAAAGAAGAACTCATACTCACTCGAAATACCCCCTTACACTTCTACCAACTCAGTAAGTCACCATTTTCGAATTTTTCGAGTTGTCTATCAATGCCATCAAACTTCGTCAATGTCGATGCTGCGGTTTTGAAGCAGGCACAGCAGATACGATGGTAAAGGAACCCCAAGCCTTCGAAACGAAAGATAATAATTTTGTTTTGTTTTTTGCTAAATTTCTGAGCTTCTTCGGACGATGCTCGATTTTGTGGATAATAGCCATAAATAAGAGAGAGAAAAGTCAATGAATAACAGCCCAGCCGTAAAAACAAATACTTAAAGTAATAAGTTTCCCACAATAAAGCTTGTTGTGGTATGAAAAATGGTGTTAGAAGTGGGATGGTGTGGGAATATACGATGTTCAGTGAATGTAGTATAAATGTATTGAAATGTGTATTTCAAATAAATCATTCGCCTACAGATTATGCTCTGTAGGAATCTGCGGGACCGTATCCAGCTGTTTAACTTGTAGAATGTCATCTAAGGGGAAATATATCGGTGGTTGCCGGTGTTCATTTCGTTCTTAACCAATAATAAATAAAAGTCTGTTCAACTGTTGTTGTGTTTGGAAACGCCATAGTAAGAACATCACAAATCGTTGAAACATTACGGAAGGATGCTCCATTCGAACGAAGCCAACTAGAAACTTGAATCGACGAGGGGATTTAATGCCATTTTGTATGTAATTTCACTACCGGGATTGAAAACGCACCAAGCTGAAGTCGACAGTTGAAGTCGTCAGATTCGAAAAGCATGGCGCCGAAGTCATCGATAATGGCTTTCTTAGTCTCCAGTTCGATCGATTTATCAAGATGTAACAGTGTGTTGTCACGATTCGTGAACTCAAAGAATAGACGTTTCTGCTTTGAGTCAGATCTTTGTACCTACTTGAGACCGTCAAATATGTGAATTCGTGTCGCCTTCGTTTAGCTGTCCGTTCGAAAAGGTTGAAATAGTGTATGTGCGTTGTTCTTTTTCGTGTCGATCTCTTCCGTGGTTGATACAAAACTTGCAAGCCACTGAAGTGGCTTTACTGCTCAGGATTCCGTTCAGCAACTATAACTTACCGTGCATGAGGTCACGCCCTGGCTAAAAAGATGCCCTGACGTTTCTTGGCTTCTTAAGCAGTGTGCAAAGTCTCTTGTGAGAGCTCAGAATGGTTTCTTATGAGAAAGACAGTAAAGATATCAACGCACGGGTAAGGATCGAGGACCGAACTTCTAAATTTGTAGGTGTCCCCCCACGGGCCGACGTGAGAAATCTGGCCAATGTCACTCTATTAGAGAGACCTGCCTATGAAATAGAGGACACTACCGTTTCGTTTAGCTAAGCTTTCGAGTCATGTATAATAGTACTTCGTAAACCAAGAAAGAGCGGGCGATTACAGGCAGTGCGTTTTGATCCTGGTGTCTCTTTAAAGTATATAAAACATTTTAATGTCCTTTTTAGTCCTTAAAAAGACACAACAAGAGGCAGTTGGTTACAGCACACGTGCGGCTCTGTCAAATTTCAGTACGTGTACTGTAATCAACTGCCTCTTGTTGTGTTTCCTGATTGTTCCGAGATCCTCTATTTATGTTGAATTAACTAAAGAGTCCTGTAGATTCTGTAAGACAAAGTTGCTTGAGAACAACTAGCCCAAGACTCCACCAGACAATGTTTCAATTAGGCATAGCCGATCAATAATAGGCTGTGTAGGCTGTGCCTGCCTATGCTATGTAGGCTATGCTATGTAGTCTATGCCTAATAGAAACATTGTCTGGTGGCATCTTGGGCTAGTTGTTAGATATTTAGGATCGAGTACTCGCACATTAAAGTAGTTGCACACAACTCACGGCTCGGAGTAGGACCATGAAGTTTTTGACTTCGTCATCCAGAACGAAGCGGAGCACACAATAAGATGCAAGCATCAATAAACAAGTACTGACGCTGGCTGTTGAACAGCGGAAATCTCAAAAGCAGCAACCTTGCCAATTACACGTGCCACTAATAACACAAACAATTTTTTTTGTCATTCACGTCTTGTATTGTAACATCCTGCTCGGCTCTGTGGACGAACAGCTCAGTGCGTCGAAATTGAACGTCTGGAATTGCTACAAACGTGACGTATAGTTTGTAAGGTCACCGCTCAGCTTCCCATCCAGCAATACGACGGCAAGCGGTTCCCCTCCTCGTCCACTTGGCAATCGCGGTTCAGACACACCCAAATAAGAGCAAGCGTCGACTGCTTGACGCCATCCTGCGAGCGAATGAATACGGCACCATTGTGCCCACAGTTGGGGCATGCCACATCGTAGTCGCGTTGCAGGGTCGGGTCATCGATCACGTCTCCAGGCAGCACGTCCAGCTGCACACTACAGCAACAAAAGCACATATACGACGAAGAGGATCAGTCAGTGGCACACTGAGAATACACAATCTCTACGGGAAAGGACTAGAGTTGGGAGACGCACCGCGTGTCCTTGACTAGCTCGTTGACATAAATACAGTTCTCCTCCACATCCTCGGACTGCCCGCAGTTGCGGCAACGGAACACCAGGCGGCGAATCTCACGGTCTTGACTCGGGTACAACATGTTGTTGCTGTGGGGTAACACGGTACAGCGAGCACGAGAGTCAGCAAAGTATTATTGGAACAAGGCAATACTCGACGAGCCGACTCTCAAGTCCATACAGGGAGCTGGTACGAGTGTGGACCGACGAGGTGACGATTGTCATCGCATTACAAGACCGAGAGGCTAGGGCGAAGGCCGCAGGGAGACTTACCACTCGCGGCAAAAGCGCATTCCAGCGGTAGCCATGACGACAAATGAGCGTTTTCAGAAGTGAGCTCCAATCGAACAGCAGGCAAAACATTAAGTACGATTTTTTGATATGGCTATTTCCGTAAATTTTGTTGTGTGGAATGTAGCCATGTTTTCGTCTACAAGTACCACAGCTCAGCATGGACACAGTTAAGACTCCTCGACAGGTTCCTCCGTCTCACGAGACTGCTGAGTCCACAATTGTAGATAGCCTGTCAAATGACAAAAGCATCGATATGTTAGTATCAAACTACACTTCAATGACACACAAAGCAAGCGACGTACGGCCTCCTTGCTCCAGCAACTGAGCGTGACTTCCAGTCTCCACGATGTGGCCCTTTTCGAGCACGACGATGTTGTCCGCGTGGCGCACAGTTGACAGACGATGAGCGATGATGATGGTAGTGCGTCCTTTGCAAGCTGTATTCAGCGCCTGGTGGATGCTCTTCTCGGTCACCGTGTCCAGCGATGACGTTGCCTCGTCCAGCACGACGACGGACGGATTCTTCAATACAAGGCGTGCAATAGCGATACGCTGCTTCTCGCCGCCACTCAATTTCAGACCACGCTCGCCGATCTGCGAGTCGAACTTGTTCGGCAAAGACATGATGAAATCGTAGATATTGGCAACTTTCACGGCCGCAATGAGCTCTTCCTCGGAGCAGTGGCGATGTCCGTATGTGAGCTGAACACAACAATAAAAGGTTACAAGGCATTTTGTTTCATGAGCAGCCACCAGCAACGTACATTGTATCGGATAGTGTCGTTGAACATGACTGTGTCTTGCGGCACGATACCAATGCTTCGACGGAGGGATTTCTGTCGCACCGACGCAATGTTCTGTCCGTTGATGGAAATTCTACCTGACAATACGTCGTAAAAGCGGAAGAGCAGTCGACTGATGGTCGTCTTGCCTGAGCCGGTTGACCCTACGATAGCCACAGTATGACCTGTCGGTACCGTGAAGCTCACGTCCTTGAGGCCGTTGGCTACTGGTTGGCTCGGATATCTGAAGCACACATTATTGAATGACACGGTGCTGGCGGTGGGGGAAGCCTCCAGTGGCGGTGCGTTGGGCTTATCCTGCACTTCCGGTTGGATACGCAGCAGCTCAACCAGGTTTTCCATATCCACGAAAGACTGGACGATGGTGTTGTAGATGTTGCCCAACGAGTCCAACGGTTTGAAGATGTTCGTGATGTACACTGTGACAGCGACAAAGTCACCGACAGTCATCACTCCATAGTAAATATTGCGGGCCGAGATCAGAAGACACACGCCAAGACAAGTCTGTTGAATGAGCTGCTGAGCCACCACGATAGCGTTCATGAGTCCTCTGGTGGATAATTGTGACTTCTGGTAGAGGTAGATGCTCGACATATATCTGTCCAGCTCGTAGTCCTCGGTGCAAAAGTACTTGACCGTTTCGAAGTTGACGAGCGAGTCAACAGCCTTCTCACTGGCCTGGTTGTCGTGTTCGTTGGTTTGTTTCTTAAAGCGCAGGCGGATTCGAGTGCCCATGGCAGTGATGACAACGTAAAGCACCACTCCAAATATCGTCACGACAGACAAGATCTTCTCCTTAAACGAGAAAATGAACACGATGGATACGACCACGAGCTCGACGAAAGTGGGAAGCAGGCGGAAGAAAATGACGTTGACGATATTGTCCGTGCTCGTGGAGCCTCGATCCAGACATCGCAATACTTTGCCCGTCTTCTTGGTGAGATGGTAGTTCATCGAGAGACTGTGCAAGTGTCCAAACAACTGTCATTATAACAATGTTAGTCGGTTCTTGCCTGTATAAAACGGATAGTGTGCGAGGATCGATACCTTGGCGGCGACATCTTGGTATGCGTGCTGCTTCACTACCATATACAGATAAGTCTGCAATTGCTTCGCCGCCGCAAACCCGAATAGTGTGGCTATGCCAATGGACAGCATCACAAACAGCAGTAAGTTTTTGGATAAAGACACCACAAGCAGATCTTCTATACGTACAGCAATACATTGCGATCGCGAATACCGGGATCTGTGTGAATTGGCTTTCCGAAATCGTGTTTGTTGCCTCCTTCAGGAACAACGGCGCAAGGATGCGAGACCCTCGTGACAGGAACATGAAGGAGAACGAGACGAACACACGAAGACGCTGCAACGCAACATACGAAGAAAAATGTCAGCACCATTCGGATATTGGCACTGAAGAAACAGCATTGCATCCTTCATACCAATCCCCATGTCTTAGGCCAGAAGTCTGCGGCAGCGCAAACATCGACGATACAGTTAGCAAAAATGAGCACTTGGTCAATCGACCTAACCAAATACCTACATGGGATGAGCAGTACGCGCAGCTCCCAGATCGTGGCGCCTTGCGCTGGCTGCGGGTCCTCCAGTGAGGCCACGTCGGGGTGCTTCAGCAGCGGAGACTTCTCGTTCGGGGCAGGCGGCATCTTGGCGAGTGGTGCAGCAACGGACGACCAGCCCAAAAGTTACCGTCATTCTTGTCATTTTGGTGAAACCACGTGTCGCGGAGCCAATCAGAGTGCGTGGGCAGGATCCCCCGCTCATTTATTGCGGACGTCGTGGTCACTGACAAGCCTGACCACTGGTGCAGCTTGTTTTCCTGTGTTGTCGCCTGCAGAGGACTTCGCCGTCTACGGAGTCACTCGAGACGCTCAGAAAGGCCATAGAACCGTTTCATGGACTTGGCACGAGTCGATCATTGCGTCAAGCATTCTGCGACTTCGATTGAAGACTTGGGTGGCCGAAACTTGATTCGTGGACACTTCGTCGGTCATCTTTTACATGTTTTACTCCGTGAGCCATCCGCTTCGGAATGATGACACCCAGGCAACAAGTATGTCCAGTGATAGCGCAGCACTAACTACGTCAGCACGTATTACAGCTACTTTGACGAGGAATACTAGCGATGATCAGGAGCTTCAACTTCAATTTCGTAGTTCACTTTAGTGGCTAGTCACTGTAGAGAACACTCCGGTTTTGTATGGATTCAAATCCGCGGCGGTCGTCAGCTCACTTTCTGTCTTGGCGGGAACATCCTAGCGACCAGCGAAGCATGAGCCGACTTCCTCCCCCCGTGCCGACTGACGAAGCGCCCAGGAAGAAACGCCGCACGCTGCGCGACGCTGAGGCAGATCTCGAGGCCTGTCGCTCGGCACTACAGGAAGCCAAGCGCAAACTCGTGCTCACGGTCGGTAGCAGCATCGCACCAGAAAGTCATTGGTGCTGAACTAACTAACGAAATATCAATATTGGCAAAAAAAAAAAAAAAAATGGGTTAACAGGCTCGAGAGAACGCTAAGATGAAGGTGTTGCTAATGAAATACATAGAGAAGGATGATTCACTGCTGTGCTCCAGCCAGCTCAGCGTCGGTGAGGTGCGTCGATCACACGCCCTGATACTCCTGAAAATAATAGTTAAATTAATTTTGCCTTGATCGTGCAAAACGCAGTCGAGCAGCCAGCCTACGTCAAGTGTTGTGCGAGCCTCGTCACCTAAGCCGAGTTCTCCTCCGGCCGCTGAGACGGATACGTCGGTGCTGTCACAGTCTCCACGGGAATACACGACAGCAGAGGAAGAAAGTGAGGGAAGTCTGTGGAATGGCGACTTCCAGCCAAGTGGCGACGGGTTCACCGAGCCAATTAGTCAGCTGAGTCAGATCAGTCAGCTCAGCCAATGGAGCGAGCTCAGCTCCACCTCCAACCTGGACGCGATCATCAACTTCCTCGAGACGCAGGACACGTCAGAGACAAACCGGTAGGATCTTCACTTAGAAGTGAAGAGAATGCAATTATGTCTCATCTGTATGGTGGGTTATTGTGTGTGTATTGCAGTATGGGGGCGCTACAAGCTGAATATGCCAAGTTAAAGGAGCAGAAAACCGTCGTTCGCGTGGGTGTGGGCGTCTTGCTCATGTCGAAAAAGCACCCAAACTGCGTGCTCATCGGCCAACGCAAGGGCTCCCATGGTGAAGGCAAATTCGCGCTTCCAGGTGGGCATTTGGAAATGTACGAGAGCTGGGAAGAGTGTGCGCTCCGCGAGGTCAAGGAGGAGACAGGTGCGTTGCCCTGTGCTTTGATGCGCAACATTTGAAGCGTTTTAACCGTTTTTTTGGACAGATCTAGATCTGAAAGAGGCCAAATTCGCGACAGTGACGAACGACCCGATGGAGGACGAAGGCAAACACTACATCACGATCCTCATGCAGGCTGTCGTGGACGACGAGCAGACCATCAGGAACATGGAGCCGCACAAATGCGAGGGCTGGAGTTGGGTGCCGTGGGCGGATCTGCGCTCTCGTGACGACATGTTTACGCCGCTGTTCCACGTGACCCACAGCGAGTTTACACCCACCTTCATCACGCCCTAACATTCACAGCACTTGAAGGCGTAAGCATGAAACAGGAGAATTTGTAGTTTGTCGATGGTTTATAATTTACATGGCGTTTTACTGATGATACTCTTTTTTTTCTGTTGGTTGCATGCCGCTTTCTAACGAATTTTCTCTCCTATTTACGCTTGCATTGGCCACACGAGTGTGGCGTGGAACAACATCCACACAATTGCCGCGACGATGACTGCACGGACGAGCATCAGCAGCAAGCTGGCGTGGTTGCCGTCCACGAACGGATCCACCACCAGCCACTTCAAACCGGTACTTAGAGCCGAGCTGGCCGTGGTGTCTTGCTTGCTTGGCTCGGTCTCGTCGATCTGTGCGAGATTCTGCTCCACTTCATCCGAGGAGCGGACAGCCATGTCTCCGCACGGTCGCACGAATCGTAGCTGCAATGTCACGTACTGAGGCTCACCAGCGGTGCGTGTGGACTCGAATCTCTCCAACTGAATGGTAGTACTGAAGTCGACGTTGTCCTTGAGAAGATCGGACACGACAAGCGCCGCTCCAGCCACCTTGACTGACCGGAAGAACGTGTGGTCCCAGAGCGAGATCTCCACCACGTCTGTGGGGTTGTGAGCCGGAATCTTCATCGGAATATGATTCCACTTGGGATTCGGGTCTCGACGCATGACAGGACTCTTCCATACTGATCCTGTCTGTGGACACTGTAGCAGCACGAACGGGTTGACAGTCTTGCGCTTACGGATGGGCGTGAGTCCTCTGCACGAAATCTCGGCCAGTGAGATCGTCGCCATGGATTTTCTGCAGCCAGCAGAGATCGCAGTACTAGGATTTAGTGGCTGCACCGCCGCCTCGTTGGCTCCACTTTGACTGCTGCTGCTGCTACTGGAAAGTCTCAAGCTGGCGGCGGTGACAGCAGTCATAGCGGCGCTGCTGTCGGCTGAGCTGTTGGACTTGAGACGTCGACATCGCACCTTCACGGGCGGAGTTGTGGTGTTGTTGTTCTCGGACTCCCAAGTCTCGCTGCCGTCCGAATCTTCGCAGTATTCACTTGGATCCTCCTCGTCCGACATTCTGGTACCAAAAGAAAGTCGGAGAGGCGACGACTTGCCGAAATCTTGTGGGGTTTTGCCGCTCTTGGCGTCTGGTAGAGCGATGTGAGCTATCCGCACGATCGTGCCACTGTTGGGCTTCCAGTCTATCACCTCCATGAACAGCGGGTCCTTGAATACGATCCCGTGTTCATAAATGAACGTGGACTGGCACGACCCCGAGCGCGTAGGACAGCCTTTAATGTGGAGATTGGAGCTTAGTTTGGTCATACGCGCACCCACAAGATACGCGAGCACAGCTGACTGGCCCTCATGACGCGCGCCGTCCACGGACACGAGCGTCACGTCCTTGGCCAGGAACTGCAGGATCATGGCGGCGTCGTTCTTGCGGAACGCGTGCGCGAAGCGTAAGTGGTTCGCGAGCAGCTGCTCGACCAGTGGCGGCTCGTTGTTGTTGTCGCTGGAGTCGCTGGACGACCCGTCGTCCACGTCGAAAGCGGGTGAGGCCGGCCGCGCCGGCGAGTCGAACAGACCTGCGGGTTGGCTGCTGAAGTTATTGAGCGCGGGCATGGCGGACGATGGGGAGTGGCGGTGTTTGTTGCTTAGGAGAGGCGGCTCAAGGCCCATGGAGCAGGCCGAGGAGGTTCGACAATGACGAGCTGTGCGGTGCTGCGGTCTGCGCTGGTTGTGCGTTCGTGAACGTCGTTCGCTGGCTGCCGTTTGTGCGGCGTTTCCTGTCTGTCTGGTTAAGACTTTTTGCGTGTGACTCCAGCTCTGGGTTTCCTCCTGGTGAGCCTGTGTCCGTCTGGTTGGCTCGACACCTGGCGGGGCTTAGCTGACAGATTGGGAATGAAGGAAAAGCGTGTGTGGGTTCACTTCACCTGACACTGACCTGAGCTAACGGGCTGAAAATCGGGAATGAAGGCGTCTGCCAGCGAGAAGAAAACGGCTCCCTGTATAGCGAGGAGATTATTGGCCAATCGTTGACGCCGTTTTTGATTATTGCATTGGAGTTTAGGGTGATTACCCCACCCAGTCAGACAACTCTTGCCACCCCTCCACCGTCAACGCCGTGAATGCTGTTCTAAATTAGCGTAAGCCCGTATTATATGCCATCGCTATCACTGCGAACTGCCCTGCGCTACAATTCCTTGCTTTTTTTATCGTACTACGTAGAGCGCTGTGCTCTGCATGCCATGGTCACCTTCGGCCGCCACGTGAATCAGATGGCTGCTGCCTTCTGTTTGACTTTGGGTTATGTGGCATCCCGCTCTCTGTGCAGGGCACCAGTTTCCAGTCGAGGTAAGCAGTAGTGTCACGGGTCTGCGTAGTAGTTGGCAGCAGCAGACCTTAACAAAGCTAAAATACATGTAGTAGAGAACGCTAACTTCTCTGCGAAGATGGCGTATTTTTTTAGCTGCAGAACTTGTGTCTCGCTGAGATCTCCCTTTACAGTGGCACTTTGGAGTGGTGCAATTTTAATTGTGCGGTGCCAGTGAATTGTATGAGTGTTTGTAAGGCAGTTTGTTGACTCCATTCCAGCAGAGACGGGCCGCTGTCGCAAATATTATCCATGATTTGGCCGCCGCAAACAGCATTCTCGTTGGAGTCCGGCAACCAGTCACGGCGTGCTCCACATCGTACGATGACGGCATGATGGCGCCGCCATGGGAACAGTATCGCTGAGCACGGCGCATTTTGGCCTGCGATTTACAAAAATGACATGGTAAAAGGCAAATCTTTTTTACAGTTTTGTGCGTAATCTAATGAAGATTGCGCCCTTTTGCGCGCGCTAATTGGTTGATATCGGTTGCTTTTCTGACCAAAAATGAACATGATTCGTGTTCATGTTGCATGAACTCGAGGGCGTTATCCTTTTTCGACACTTACCAACGCCGAACACTGAAATCAAAGCCAGTCAGGATGGAACATGATGAAGGTTCTAACGGCCAGCATGATTTCCAACAAATCGGGGCATGATATTGAATTAACGAGCAAACTACAGATTGGATCAGCGGTTGCCTTGGTCACACATTATTGAGCTGCAAGAGAAGGTCAGACGTGCAGCCCTCGTCACATTATGTAAAAGTCCGAATCATTGTCAGTTTTGAGGCTGCCAATGCAGACGCAGCAGTGAGGACTGTAGATGCTTGGCCCTGTGTACCCAAGATCCGATGTTGTTATTGAGACTGTCAGGTGTGGCGACCATGTTTCTCTAGGGAGCATTCAAAGCAAAATTCCCCGTGGTGAGACCGTCGTGCTGCGATTGGGTCATTGAGGACATTCTCCACCACCAACACCGGTCGAGTCTATCCATGTGCTCGCTAGAAATCCAGACGCGGTCGATCGTGCTATTATAAATGAACACTGCCCACGAAATGTAGGATAAGCAGCTCCTTTTGATCAGTAAACCAGTTCACCAGATGAATATCCAGTGGCAACATGATCAGCGTTCTTTCGCCAGTGCGGTCGCTGGCACTAAATTTCAGCATTCTGTGCAATTGGTGCATTGCAAAAGTTAAACCAGTTCGCGCTACCAGGAAGACCCCCTGGTTACCACATTAAACCCAAAAACTTAGGTTAAACGAATGCTTAGTATGACTTTTTGAAAGCTAGAACCTGGTAGAGACCCGCAATCTCCCACTCGGCATCGGAGATGGATCCACGGATGTTGGTCACGTGCATCTTCTCCAGCAGAGTGCGGTTGCGATCCTGGTCTTTGCGCTGCTGGATGAAGCGATGAAAATTCTGTTTCAGCAACAGCTCAAAGCCGTGCTCGCGCAGGAGGTTGGCCAACAAATCGTCTGGTACTAAGTACTCTGGGAGGTCCACGGCCTGGCCACCGCCAGCTTCAGCGTCGTCTTCCACGCGATCGCGAAGCGTGAAATTATACCGCAGGCCGAAGGATCCTTCCGCAGCGGCATCAGGTCCTGAGAGCTGGGCGCGTGTTGCAGCGTCGAAGCGAATACAGCACACCTCACGTTTTTTCTCATCCAGGATGCTCACGTCGGGCTTGTTAGCTTCCTGGTCCTCCTTCTCCTGTTCGGGTGGCCGCAATCCCTGGTAGTACTTCATCAGCAGCTTGTTTGGGTCCACTGTCGTCGCTATTAAGACGCCACCATCTGCGAGTAGTTCGTGCACTGTGGAGAAGAAGCGGTTGGCGCGTTGGGCGTCACCAAACATGTAGTGGAACGAAAACTGTACCGACACGATGTTGAAGTTGCCAATTGCAGTAGTCGGTAGCGGTACGGCATCGTGCCAGCCTTCGTGCTCACTCCAGCAGTGCATCTCGTCGCGCAGCAAGTCTACAACTCCTAAGTCGCCCTGGATGAACTGCACTTCGGTCTTCTTCCTGTCCCGATCTCTTCCGTTGCGCGAGAACGACGTGTATCTCTCCACGGCATCCTCCAGTGATTTCTGAGCGATGTCTACACCGACATATTGGGCCAGATTCCTCTTGGTCCACTTCATTAGGTCTCCACCTTTACCACACGCCAAGTCCAGCACGTGGTCGCCCTCACGTCGCGAAAATTCGTTGATCAAGATCGATTTCACCCAGTTGTTGAGCGCGCGCATGTGAAACAGTAAACTATCCGCTCTGTCACTCTGCGCACGTCGCTGCAGTTGATTGTAAAACGCCGCGGCAGCGTCCGGATCTTTCTCCTTGTCGTCCTCATGGCCTCTCGACATGGCGTCGAACGATCTCTTGTTGCTACTCCCTCTTCCTTCACTCTGCTGTGGCCGCTCCGGACTCGATACCAAGTTGGAAATGTTCATCGCTCTCGAAGGTTGCGCCATCGGCGCGCGCGGAGACTCCTCTGCAAAACAAATAAGCAAAAGTCAGCAGTTGATACAACAAAAACATCCAGAATAGGGATAACAGGGATAAACTCGCACCTTGCGCCTGCTCCGCGCCTAGCGCGGGGGGTCCGGGACTCAGTAAGTCCATTAGTGAGTTGGATTTCTTCCTCACGAGACGCGGCGGCTCGCCCGAACGTGCGTGACCACCAGGAGATGGCGCTCTGGGCGACTCCGCGTCATCGTAGGACGGGGCCGGGACGGGAATTAGCTCTGGGGAGGAAATGTCATTTGATATCGCTGGGGGCGACGGAGAAATGCTAGAAGCTTGACGCAACACGGGCTTGTCGTACGAGATGGTGCTGTTCTTGTCTTTGACGTGGAAGTAAAAGCGGCGGCCGTCACGATCGAACTGGTGCGACCAGCCGCGCGGCAGCTCGTCGTCCACCCAGTAGACCTTCTTAGTCTGTGCATTGTAGTAATACGGCATGTTCTTGGAGCGCGACATGGCCACCTCCCACTCGGGCGGCAGGGGCTCCTCGACCACCTCAAGCGTTCCCATCGTTTTACAATGACAAAACTCGGCTTCTCAAATTTAAAATTTGAAAATAATGTGACCAAAAAAGTAGCTCCATATTAATTCTAAAAACTAAAAATAGAAGTGCTGCTGATTAAAAAGCATAGCACACACTTTGCTGGGTTTTTAGAACTTTTAGATGCCATGTTGATGCCTTACTTGGACACAGAACTAGTTTTCAGCACGCTTTGGATCGTACCGTGTTCGCCATTTAGCCTCCACAAGGGTTCCTCCTTCTCCAAATTGTCCACGACGTTGCCAGGGATTCCCATCACTGGAGTCGACTTTAAGATGCGGAATGCTACGAACGCCGTGGGGAAATAGGGCACCACTTCCTCCAAGGGGGTAGATGGAGGCCAGAGGCGATCGCTCAATAGTCGGCGATAATTCAGGTCACCCTTGAGGATGACGAGTGTCGCCTCTCGAGCGAGACGAGCGTGCAGCTCGACAGGCATCTCCCAGTAGAATGTATACTGGTTCCAGTAGGTGTCCGGGCGGATGACGATCTGCCCCTTGCTGACGTACTCGGCCAAGCGCTTGCCCAGAGCCTGCACCTTCGGAGTGCGTGTCTCTCGCTGCATTTCCCAGACATGTTCATTTACGTCGGCAGGGATCACATCCGACACGTAGATGGGCTCCGCTTTCACATTGAACGTCACCTTGCCGCACCAATTGTGTGTCAGCATGTGATCCGCCATGGCCAAGTCCAGCAGTAGTTCAGTGCCGACGTTATCGCTGATAAACTCGACACCTAGATTTTTTGCACCCCCGCTATCGCGCGCGTTCTGCTCCAAGAACGAGATCACTTGGTCACTGTGATCCACGAGCACCAAATAGTCATCAAAGACCAACGAGTCTCCAGCAACGTGCATGGTTGATTTCACCTTTTCGTTAGTGCCGTCGGCTTTGTTGCCCCATAGAGAGAGCATCATGAAGCGTTTGAGCTGATCGCGATGGCTCTGCGAACCGGATTCTTCTTGTGTGGAAATCTCCACTGCCGTCTGGAGCAGAGACCACGGTGTGTCTCCTTTTAACTCCGCCACTTTCGAGTAGTAGAATGGGTCGAACCGTGTCGTGTAGTAGTCCGTCATCAGGAGAACCAAGTGGAACATGTATTGCTCCACCAGGAACCATGGCGAGTTTTGCCATGTATAGCTGTTGCCGGCCAGCAAGCTCTCCCAGTGTTTGCTAGTAAGCGACTTGGCAGCTTGTTCGGGGAAGGTCGAGGGCAGCGGGATCTCTGCGTTTTTCACCATGTCGTCGGCCAGCAGCAACAGTCGCTTGACCGCTTCAGAGGAGAGACGGTCGCCATTGTTGGACACGCAGTCGCGCAACACTTGCGGCATCCGAACGGTGCATGTTGTGTGTGCGAACGTGTCCGGCATATTCGCGACGACCTCATCGTGCTGTTGCATTCGCGCGATGTACTTGTCAGAGACGTTCATGCTGCTCGAGAGAGCTATGGGATGAATCAGGTGTTAGTGTTGAATTCCAAAAAGAAAAGGTGGCTGTGGACTTGGCCAGAGAACCTGGGGAAGGTGTCACTAACGCATCTTTGATGGCAGGTCATGCGTCCCGTAAACTGCTACGTAACTTACGTAGCTTAAGTATCCTTCGCTCGTTGTTGACATGACACATTGCAGAGGCCGAGTACATCTCCTGTGCTGAGTCAGCAATGAGTAAAGCAAGATGTCACAAAATTCAGGAAGATGGCATCTTGAAGCAGGTTGAACATGTACATGTAGTTGAACGTTTGAAGCAAGTTTAGTTGACCCAACTTGACGTTGTTTCCAGTTGTGGTACTGTCGATTATGCATTTTCGGCTTAAACGGTTGATTTCGTAGGGTCATCCAGGATTGGTGTTGTGGTACCGTATTATGCGTTATCCGCCCAAAGCGCTGTTTATGCGGTGTCCTTTCATACAACAACCAGCTTGGCTGGACAGTGAGAGGCCCATTACGGCATTTCACTCATAGCTGTTATGACAGTCTCCGCAGAGTTCCTCGCACGTGTGTACGCAGGAGAGGAGATCTTCACCAACGTCCCCGGCACTTTTGCCAACGAATCATATAAATCTCGACTGCCTGGACTCGTCCGCGACTGCGTGGACAGCAACCGTGAACGATTCTCCGAGGAGAAATGCAACCGTTTGCTGCAGCTGGCTGACGACATGGTGAACGACGCTGTGATCCCGTTTCCCTCGCAGTATCCTGAACAAGCTGCCAAGTCTCCTACGAGCGCTCAATGGGAGTCCCTGCTCAAAGACAAAAACTACACGTGGCAGAACTCGCCGTGGTTCTTGAGCGAGCAATACATGTTCCACTTGGTCCTGCTGCTGGCCGAGTACTACACGACGGGTATCGATCCTTTCCATCCGTCGAAGGTGGCAGAGCTGAAGGAGGTCACTCCGTGGGCGTTGCTGCAGACAGCTGTGGGTTTATCAGCTCAGGAGGAGGCGACTTCTCAAAGCCACCACGACCAGTTGAAGCGGTTCATGAAGTTGTGTTTGTGGGGCAACAAGGCTGATGGCTGTTACAAGGAAGTGAAGGACACCATCAGTGGTGCTGATGCGTCGTTGGAATTCGACGACGAGCTGCTGCTCGTGGACGACAGTGACAAGGTGATCACGTACCTCGAGAACCAGGCTCGCGAGGCCGGAGACACGAAGAAACTAGAAATTCAGTACATCAATGACAACAGCGGCACTGAGTTGTTACTCGATCTCGCCCTAGCCGATCACTTGCTGAAGCACGAGTGGTGCGGCAAGGTCACGTTTAATGTAAAACTGGAGCCGATTTATGTCTCGGACGCGACGCCCGCCGACGTGCATGAACATATTGCCGAGATGCAGCGTCCAACTCGCACACCCGAGGTGCAAGCCCTTGGCAAACGACTAGACAGCTATGTCAGCAAGGGATTGCTGGTGATCCGCCCGGACATCTTCTGGAACCGCTACACCTACTACTGGGAGATGCCCACGGAGTTGCGGACTCGTCTTGCTAATGAGGCGACACTGGTGATCATCAAGGGCGATCTGAACTACCGTCGTCTATTGGGAGACCGTCTGTGGCCGCCGTCGACGCCTGTGGAGGAAGCTGTGCCATACTTCCCGACAGCTTTCGTGTCGTTTCGAACGATGAAGTCGAATCCTGTTGTGGGTATTCCTGCTGACATCGTGGAGAAATTGGAGAAGGAAGACCAGAAGTGGCGATACAATGGCAAGCGCGGCACGATCCAGAGCGTCCTGGACCCGAATCCTGTGATCGAGTAGATACATACAGTGTGTAGGAGCTAATAGCGAAGCCACAGATATCTGTTGATTATGAGTCAAGCAAGATTTACAAGTAGACTACCGTTAATACAAGCGGGGAGCTTGCGCAGGTCGCAGACTGTCAAACGGATTCACGAGAACTACACCATCATAATTTAGAGATGTGAATCTAGGACTCATAATCAACAGATATCTGTAGTTTCGCTATTAGCTCCTACACACTGTATGTATCTACTCGATCACAGGATTCGGGTCCAGGACGCTCTGGATCGTGCCGCGCTTGCCATTGTATCGCCACTTCTGGTCTTCCTTCTCCAATTTCTCCACGATGTCAGCAGGAATACCCACAACAGGATTCGACTTCATCGTTCGAAACGACACGAAAGCTGTCGGGAAGTATGGCACAGCTTCCTCCACAGGCGTCGACGGCGGCCACAGACGGTCTCCCAATAGACGACGGTAGTTCAGATCGCCCTTGATGATCACCAGTGTCGCCTCATTAGCAAGACGAGTCCGCAACTCCGTGGGCATCTCCCAGTAGTAGGTGTAGCGGTTCCAGAAGATGTCCGGGCGGATCACCAGCAATCCCTTGCTGACATAGCTGTCTAGTCGTTTGCCAAGGGCTTGCACCTCGGGTGTGCGAGTTGGACGCTGCATCTCGGCAATATGTTCATGCACGTCGGCGGGCGTCGCGTCCGAGACGTACATCGGCTCCATCTTCACATTGAGAGTAATCTTCCCGCACCAGCCATGAGCCAACAAATGGTCCACCAGTGCTAAATCCAACAGAAGCTCTGTGCCGCAGTTATCGTTGATGTATTGCACGCCCAAAGTCTTCGCATCAGTTTCACACGCCATCAGCTCCAAGTAATCGATCACCTTGTCACTGTCGTCTACGAGTAGCAGCTCGTCGTCGAATTCCAACGACGCATCAGCACCACTGATGGTGTCCTTCACTTCCTTGTAACAGCCATCAGCCTTGTTGCCCCACAAACACAACTTCATGAACCGCTTCAACTGGTCGTGGTGGCTTTGAGAAGTCGCCTCCTCCTGAGCTGATAAACCCACAGCTGTCTGCAGCAACGCCCACGGAGTGACCTCCTTCAGCTCTGCCACCTTCGACGGATGGAAAGGATCGATACCCGTCGTGTAGTACTCGGCCAGCAGCAGGACCAAGTGGAACATGTACTGCTCGCTCAAGAACCACGGCGAGTTCTGCCACGTGTAGTTCTTGTCTTTGAGCAGGGACTCCCATTGAGCGCTCGTAGGAGACTTGGCAGCTTGTTCAGGATACTGCGAGGGAAACGGGATCACAGCGTCGTTCACCATGCCGTCAGCCAGCTGCAGCAAACGGTTGCATTTCTCCTCGGAGAATCGTTCACGGTTGCTGTCCACGCAGTCGCGGACGAGTCCAGGCAGTCGAGATTTATATGATTCGTTGGCAAAAGTGCCGGGGACGTTGGTGAAGATTTCTTCGTACTGCTGCACGCCCGCGAGAAATTTTGGTGAGATGCCCATTTGGAGGATTGTTTTTGGGGTCTGTGCTGCTAGGGAAAAGCGATTGTGAGCTGTGCCACTCACTTTTTGGTGCGAAGACTTCGCACCATCAAAAACACTTCGATTGCTGGGTATCTGTGAATCTTTAACACCTTCCTTACTCCGACAAAACACGAATCGTGGTTGATGTAAGCTGGTAAGAAAGGCGTCAGGGATGTTAGGCACACCTAAGACTGTAAAAACGGAGTAAGTTGGCAAAAGCGTCTTCATTCCGTTTAACAAACAATTGTCTTCTACAGAACTACGAACGCTCTTCGACCATCAAGAAGTGTCAATAGATGCGTGCAGCACAACTTATTTCTTCTTGGCGGCACCCTTGGCCGAGGCGTCCTTCTTGGTCACCGACTTGATGACACCGACGGCAACCGTCTGACGCATGTCACGCACGGCGAAACGCCCCAGAGGAGGGTACTCCTGGAACGACTCGACGGTCATGGGCTTCGAGGGCTCGAGGATGACCATGCAGGCATCACCCGACTTCACGAACTTGGGGGCAGTCTCGAGCACCTTGCCCGAACGACGGTCCATCTTCTCCGTGATCTCTTTGAACTTGCAGGCAACGTGGGCCGTGTGGCAGTCAAGCACGGGCGAGTAGCCGTTGCCGATCTGGCCGGGGTGGTTCAGCACAATCACCTGGGCGGTGAAGTCCTGGGTGCCCTTGGCCGGGTCGTTCTTGGAGTCCGAGGCGACGTAACCACGACGCAGCTCCTTCACCGACACGTTCTTGACGTTGAAGCCGACGTTGTCACCAGGGACGGCCTCAGGCAGAGACTCGTGGTGCATCTCGACGGACTTGACTTCAGTCGACAGACCAACGGGGCCGAAAGTGGCGACCATGCCAGGCTTGATGACACCGGTCTCCACACGGCCGACAGGTACCGTGCCAATACCGCCGATCTTGTACACATCCTGAAGAGGAAGACGCAGCGGCTTGTCAACCGGGCGCTTAGGGGGGTTCAGGTTGTCAAGAGCCTCAAGGAGGTAGGGGCCCTTGTACCACGGCATGTTGGTGGAGCGGTCGATCATGTTGTCACCCTCCCAGCCAGAGATGGGCACGAACGGGATCTTGGCGGGCTTGTAGCCGACCTTCTTCAGGTACGTGGTGACCTCGTTCTTGATCTCCTCGTAACGGGCCTGGCCGTACATGACAGACGAGTCGTCCATCTTGTTGATGGCGACGATCATCTGCTTCACACCCAGAGTGAAGGCAAGCAGAGCGTGCTCACGGGTCTGGCCCTCCTTGGAGATACCAGCCTCGAACTCACCCACACCCGAGGCCACCACAAGGATGGCGCAGTCGGCCTGCGAGGTACCCGTAATCATGTTCTTGATGAAGTCACGGTGACCAGGGGCGTCAATGACCGTGAAGAAGTACTTGGGGGACTCGAACTTCCACAGGGCAATGTCGATCGTGATACCACGCTCACGCTCGGCCTTCAGGTTGTCAAGCACCCAGGCGTACTTGAACGATGTCTTGCCGAGCTCGGCAGCCTCCTTCTCGAACTTCTCGATGGTACGCTTGTCGATACCACCGCACTTGTAGATCAAGTGACCAGTGGTGGTCGACTTACCGGCGTCGACGTGACCGATCACGACCAGCGAAATGTGAACCTTTTCCTTGCCCATAGTTAACTGTAGATAAAAAGAGGAAGAAACAACGAGTTAATCTCTGGCAAGACTCGACGTATGTGGAGATCTTTCTGCTGGAGGAGCAAGCGCTTACCTTCTTCAAAGAAAATCTGAGAGTGAGGGAGGCTCAGAGGAGGATCTTTCCGATCGAGTGGCTCGGGCAGCACGCGACGGACGGATGGCTACCACATAAAATCGTGATTCGGACGGGTTTTCGGCCAATCGAAGCCGGGTACTTTGAATTGTTTTGCCCAATGATGGAGAGGAACTCTCCAAACCAGTGATTTGGTGGTGTCTGGGACTGGTCGTATCGCTTTGACAGCGTTTTTGTAAGGGAGGTGCTGCTGTGGTACACACAACGCCACGACAGGATCGACCATCACTCGTTCCGCCTTGGGCGAAGACTTTTACATGTACGAGCGTGAATGCTACAGGTAGACTACGAATTAGGGAGGGCATTCAATCGAACGTGAGGAGGAGGGCAACAACTTTTGGCTACATGTACCTCGCCCAGAGGTTGCTTGGGGGTAATTTTTAGTATCCATTAAATGGCATAAAAAGACGAGGATGACTTTTTATCATGCAATATGAGTCTACAGTATTCATTTATCTAACAAAATAAAGGCATTTATTGAATTGGGTTCATTTTACGTGACCCATTCCCAGGTTTTACGCATTTTGGTTGAAGCGCCGATAAGATGCTAACGCCGCTGAGCAGCAACGGCCTCGAGTCCTGTGCGGCCTGCCTTAGCGTACTCAATCCAAGCAAATGCCTCTGCATGCTTGAATAAAGCACCCCGGAGTCCAGCTGTGTGAAGCGTCCGCTGCAAACAATGTTGGCGCTCAACAGCTACGGCCTAGCGGCTGCATCGCGTTCCGGCGTTGGAAGCAATAACGCCGCTGACCGTGTGATCCTCCCTCGCCTGTGCGGCGGCGGCCTGCCTGCTGTGCGCGAGATCCGCTCGCTGACCAAGCTGGTCATCTTGCCACGTCCCGAGCATCCTTTATATCGCACCACATCAGGCTATGACTATGGGCGCTACATGGACTTCAAGGACGCAGCGCTCAGCTGTCCCAAACACGCTCGACCTGCAGGCTTTACAAAGGAATTCATTGCCGGTAACTACATAGACAACAGTCTGTTATCACTGGTGAATAGCAAGCGACGCGCTGAGCTCTGGCAGCAGAAGATGGAGGTGCGTACCTCTCGGATGCGCGTCAAATACGCCGAGCTGCAGCAAATACTGGAGAAGAAGAAGAAACTGCGTCGCATTGAGCGGGAGAAGCGGAGGCGCGAGATGGAGATCCTTCGATTGGCGGTGGTGCAGCTCCAGGCTAGAATGCGAGGATACCTGACCCGATGCACGCTTGCGCAGCAGAAGCTTCAACGGGATACAGCGGCGGCTTTGTGCATCCAGCAAGCGAGTCGAGCACGCGCACGTGTACGTGTTGCCAAGCAGATATTGGAGGCTAAACGACGCGAAAGACAGGAGGTGTTTGCGGTCAAGATCCAGCGCATATGCCGCAACTTCATCCTGCGTCGACATGCTACGCGCCAGCTAAGAAAGTTGCGAGAGGCCAAGCGGCAGAAAGATATCGAGTTGGAGCTTGAAGCTCAACGCCAACGCACTGGTGCTGCGAAGCATATTCAACGTCTAGCGCGAGGCCACCTCGCTCGGAGAGACCTACAACGTCGGTCTTCGACTGCGTCAAGTGTGGTATATGACAAGGACGACAAGGACTCGCTGCTCGCTATCACTGGACGCATGCGCAGTCGTGGAGCCCGTCGCGTTATTGCGCAGATGCAGCAAGTACGGCGGAAGCACACCAAAGCTTCTGTCCGCATCGCTAGTCCTCCATCCAAATGATCGGTAATAAACTACGAACACTTATCAACTCAAATTCTATGCAGTAAAGCATCGTGCATTTCGTTCCTTACCTTCGCTTCTCTTTCTAGTAACTTCAGGCATGGAGGATGAACTATCTTGCATCTATTCGGTGTCCGAATGCGGAAAGAAGCCGAGGATGTCCTTAATGAGGATATTCCACACAACTTGCACGGCCACCTCAGCGACGATGAGCCAGATCACAATCATCTCCAGCTTTGTGTCGTGCTGGTGCGCGAGTTGCTGGCTTAATACATCCAGCCTGCATCAATTTGAGAGTACAAAATAGATCAGATACAATCCAAATTAACGGCAAACGATCAGCACGCACAGTTCGCGAAGAATGTCCAGACGAGTGTTGAGGATCTGGACTCGGTTGTCCACGCTCAGGTATTTCATCACCTTCTTGTACAGCGGCTCGTACTCATCATCTTCCCAGAAGAAATCTGGTTCATCCAGCATATCCGAGTTCAAGTTCACATCACTCCGCTGCAAGTAACACCACACACGAGTGAGATATGATGCAGCTGGACGGGAACAAAGGGTTTAATGGTCCTTTACTTACCTCGATAAATAACCGACCGATAAGCTTTGAGATGTCACTCTGCGAATACTGAATCGAACCTGTGGCTGCCAGATTCTGCGGCACATGCTTCGTCTCACGGATAGTTTCCTCCACGCGCTCCTCGAAGACGTCCAGCTTGGAGGACTGCGCCATGGCGAAGGAGACCGCCAACTTCTCGGACGCGCGGTTACTGCTGAGTGTAATAGCGTCGTTGCAGATGAGACTTGCATCCCCGTAAGTGTAGTCCATGTCTTCGACCTCCACCTGCTTGACCGGACCCACCGAGAATGCTCCTAACGCCACCAGATGCGCTTGTTCTTCAGCTCTTGTCAGTCCCCAGAAGACCGCACACCCCGTTCTGTAATGCAAAACACGAACATTCAATGTAAGTTGCCGTGTAGTGCTAATTCTTACGTCACCTAGCAACAACTCACGCGAAGTAGAAGGCGTCCTTCTGCTGATACGGCACCCGCGCTCCCTCCCTACACTCAAACAACGTCAGAGCCTCATTTTGCCACAGTATCCAGCTTCTATCTACTAACTCATGATTCGGGGCCGGCGCACAACTGGAGTGTATCGCACCCATGTACATTTTGTGTCTCCACCCGTCGGGATGCAGCTCTCCTCCGGGTAATTGACCCGTTTCGACTCGCTCGAGCCACTTGAGCAGCTTGAACAACTGCAGTTGATCGCATGTGCAGTAAGCGGACACGCGGAGCTTGGGAGCGCTTGGCGGCTCTCTCAGCTGTTTCTTGATAGTTCTCATCCTTGAGCGTCGCGTCGTGTGGCTCACCGTCCCGGGGGCGGGCAACGGCTTTGGAGCTCCACGTTTGAACCTGCTGCGCGTGCCAAGTCCATGCCAATTGGCCCGCGGAATCTGTCGGAAGGCGTCCGACGACTGCTGTCGATAGCTGGTGGGTGAAAACTGGTGGTCTAGGTCGCTGAAGTCCTCGTGCTCGTCGCTGTTGCTGCTACTGCTGCTCGTACCGTCGTCGTCCGCCCCAAAGTAGCGGCGTGAGTTACCGTTCTCCTCGTCCTTGCGATCGTACACCGCCGAGTCAGAGTTGTAATTGAGCGAGATGCTGCCTGGAGGTAGCAGTGGTGAGTTCTCACACGCGTCGGCTAACGACTGCGGGGGACTACGGCTGCGTCGAGAGCTCATGATGGTGATAGTTTGCGACTGTTTAAAGCTTTTTACGGAGCAACATCGTTACCTTGTGTAAACCACGTAAAATTGGAGCAATACAAATAATCCTCTTTGTAGTGATAGCACCGTTTTATTACTAAATTGAGGAATCATTTACTGCAGACTGCACGATAACGATGCTATTAGGCTGGTGGCTCAGAAACACTACGCAATTGCACATTTGCTCCAACGAACAATGGTTCCTACCGCGAATAGCTTTCAGAGCCAGGAGATGCCCCGATCATTTCTTCTGTGACGATCTGCGCATGGAAGAGGGACATCGACGCCATATCGATCACCTACCTCTACTAGTGCTACTCGCAAGAAAACACGAAACTGCGAAGGGTACTTTGAGGCTGCCGTCAATCCCGTAATCTCTGTGCACTAGACACTATGTTCAAACACTTGAGTCCGACATCGGGATTCAAGTAAAACGACCCATGGAGATGGGTCGTTTTACTCGCATGTGAATCTCTGTGGGTCTCTGTCGCCCGTAGCAAGCTTCAACAATAGCGCTATCGCTACATGTTAACGTGTTTTACACTGTTTAAGGTCAGCCCACTTAATGATCTAGGTCATGACAATAGCGCTGTTCCTTGGTGGAGACACTGGTACTGATCTCTCTAGCGCCAATAACGGCTGTATTGATCGACCATTCTGCTCTCAGTCGTGCTTCTCATGGTCATACTGCTCGTTGCCAAATTGGTCTTGGTGTGGCACCCGTGCCGCTTTCAGTCCTTTTGCTCTCGATAGTGCTGCACTCTATTGTGCTGCCTTACCGTACTGATCGAGGTATTTCTCGTACATAGCACTCTGACGGTCTGCTTGCTCCTTTCGCGCAAGAGGCTCACTCCTCCACAAGGGTGGCTTGTACCTCAGCACAGGCACCTCGTTCCTCCGCGTCATTATTGTGCTGTAAAGCAGCAGTGAGCTGATCGCGGAACAGCGCCTCGGAATATTTAGTTATGGGTGAGGGGAGAGCGTTGAAGAGTGCGAGGAAGGGGGGCGAGAGGAGCGCCCGATGGAGTGTGAACAATACAACTCAAATTTGAAGTGCACAACAAACAGTGATGTAGCCCACAAAAGAAAACAACTGACGTGCGCTGTACCCTTCTCTCGCTTTCAACCCAGTTCTGTCAGTCTGTCGATCTGATACGTTCTCGTTCCATCCTATAGACTGCATCTATCTCCCTGACTCGACTTGACTATGACGAATTTACAGCCACAAGCACGACACTTTTATTGAGGGTTACCGGTTCCTGATGGTACATACCGGTTCCCGAACCTGTCCAACACGATCCCGCGATGATTATGGTACGTTGATTACGCCACCAGTGATTAGACGAGTAGGATGAT